TTATCTTATACACGTATAAGTACCCGTTCTGGCGAACAGGATAAGCCTAACTCTATTCTCCCCATCCCCCGTCACCCCTCCTCAAATATTACAAAAATATATAAAATTCTCTTTCTGAGACGAGAATAGTCTAAGAATTGTCAATGGCTACTGCTGATTAGCTGAAAGCCACCTCCTCAGTAGTCTGTCAATCTAAAATTAAGTAAAAGCTACTTTCTCATTAGTCTATCAGCTCACAATTAAATACAAGCTGTCTTCTCATTAGTCTATCAGCTCACAATTAAGTACAAGCTGTCTTCTCATTAGTCTATCAGCTCACAATTAAATACAAGCTGCCTTCTCATTAGTCTGTCAACTCAAAATTAAGTACAAGCTGCCTTCTCATTAGTCTATCAGCTCACAATTAAATACAAGCTGTCTTCTCATTAGTCTATCAGCTCACAATTAAATACAAGCTGTCTTCTCATTAGTCTATCAGCTCAAAATTAAGTACAAGCTGCCTTCTCATTAGTCTATCAGCTCACAATTAAATACAAGCTGCCGTCTCATTAGTCTATCAGCTCACAATTAAATACAAGCTGCCGTCTCATTAGTCTATCAGCTCACAATTAAATACAAGCTGCCGTCTCATTAGTCTATCAGCTAACAATTAAATACAAGCTGCTTTCTCGTTAGTCTATCAGTTCAAAATTAGATACAGGTATGAGCACGAAGCCCTTGTGTAGCTTTGCGCGAAAATTCTAAAACAAATAGACAGCGCATACCAACAAATCACCTGCGTTACACTATTGGCTGTTATGGTAACCGCATTGTTGATTGCCTGTTTTAATAACTTTTTTTTGTGATTTAGTGACAGCAGAACGATCACATTGATCACAAATATCACTCACTTTGTGGTTGTTACCTGCTCTAAAATATTAATTATAATTACTTCAGTTGTGTGTGTGTTTTTTACTTGTTAACTTGTTCAAGTGTAAATGTATACGCGTTAAGCTAACATTTTAAAATCTCATTTTGGAACAGGTATCATGATTTGCGCACATGTTGGTGAATTGTCACACGGAATCTGATGAATTTTGGAAACATGACTTGTGTATAAAGCGAAGTTTCATTTGATTTTTGAAATCAGAGACATCTTTGATAGTAAATTCATTCTTGATAAACGGAATTGTTATCTAAGTAATCTTTGACAGTAAAGTCATTCTTGGTAAACGGAGTTGTCATGAAAGTAATCTTTGACAGTAAAGTCATTCTTGGTAAATGGGGTTGTCATCAAAGTAATCTTTGACAGTAAAGTCATTCTTGGTAAATGGGGTTAACATCAAAGTAATCTTTGACAGTAAAGTCATTCTTGGTAAATGGGGTTGTCATCAAAGTAATCTTTGATGTAAACATTTGTGTAAATATTGTTTTTTTTTCGCACTTCAAAATGGAGGTAGCACAAAACATTTTCACATTTTATAACATGTGGAATTGGGAAACTTTAAACTAAATCAGAATTATTAATGGATGTCTAAGATTCAAATGTCTTTGAAATATGACGATGTGTTACGGTTAATAGTATTAGAATTCAGGATGCCATTTAAGATGCATAGTAATTTCACGTGTTTTACTTGAACAGTTTCAGTTACAACGACAAACATGTGGACTGCATGACAACAGAACCTCAATTTGTGATGGCTCCGGTTATAAACTCTACTACCAACCCTCCAGTTTCTCCGAACCCCATAAAAGGGATGGAGAATCGCCTTCGGTATATGATGACCCCTCGTAATTCCATGTCCATCACTTATACTAAGGGACTTCTCAACATGCCTGGTCAGAACAACTGCTTCCTTAACAGTGCCGTACAGGTAAGTTAATACGTACATTTATTTATTGAAATAGAAATAAAATAATATTAATTGAAATCAACGTATACCGTAAAACAGCTTGTGTCTCTACTTAACGAAAATTGTCAGACTTATCGACTTCTAATTACCATAAACCTTTTCCATATAGCAGCGTTAAACTCCTACAAAAAAACAGAAAAATGAGAGAGTTTGTTTTGTTTCTAGTTAAGCATAAAGCTACACAATGGGCTATCTGTAGTCTGCCCACCACGGGTATCGAAACCCGATTTCTAGCGGTATAAGCCCGCAGAGATACCGCTGTGCTACTAGGGGGCAAGAGAGAGAGAGTGATGGTGAGTTGATTGTACATGGCCACTCAACGTGAAGATAAAGTAGCAAAATTAAAACTTTGAAGACAAATAACGGTAAAAAACAGGAGTATGATAAATGGTGTTACCCCGTAAAAAATTGAGTGGACAGAGCCCACTCAAACTAACACTTCTCCAGCCCGGTTCCAAAACCCCATATTTTATTGATTTTTTCTCAATTTTACAAGTTTGTCAGCCTTTTCACTCCCTGTTACTGCATGCGAATAACGCCCACCCCACAATCTCCGTAAATACAACGAAATTAAAGACGCCCCTCGCACGAGCATCTTTGCTAATAATAAATGATATGCCTCTGACTGAAAGCTAATTTTCATTTGCTAGCATGGAACTTACGATTGACATATAATCCAATAATTTAACAAATCAGTTGCTATAACCGAGATTAATTAAACATGTTTAATCAATCGAAACATTTCAATGCCAAAAATCCTCAATAAGCTGACTACCTATGATATATCGCTTGAAAAGTATAGATTCTCGTCGACCAGCGGGATATCTTCAAATGAGCAAGATTCTAAAACATCCGGGACACTGGCTGCAATAAAATCATGTTCTAAGAAGAATACGTTAGATTGCAAGGGTCCCTTAGTGGTACAGAGGTAAGTCTGTGGACTTAAAGCTAAAAACCTCGCTTCGATACCCGCGGTGGGCACAGCACCGATAGCCCATTGTGTGGCTTTATGCTTAACTAGAAACAAAATCGATTGCGAGGGAAAAATCACGTTCTTTAAAAAAAAACAAAAAAAAAACGTTACGAATCCAACAGATTCGATCACGTGTTAAAAGAACATTTTAAATTTATAGATTTGATTGCGAGTAAAAAAAAGATTTAAAACTATTAGATTAAATTGCGGGTAAAAAACCCGTAACGAATCCAACAGATTCGATCACGAGTTAAAAGAACATTTTAAATTAATAGATTTGATTGCGAGTAAAACAAAAAGATTTAAAACTATTAGATTAAATTGCGGGTAAAAAAAAAACGTTACGAATCCAACAGATTCGATCACGAGTTAAAAGAACATTTTAAATTAATAGATTTGATTGCGAGTAAAACAAAAAGATTTAAAACTATTAGATTAAATTGCGGGTAAAAAAAACCGTTACGAATCCAACAGATTCGATCACGAGTTAAAAGAACATTTTGAATCAATAGATTTGATT